TCAAAAAGTATGAAAAGTACTTAAAAAGGTTCACTTATAAGTACTTTGTCCTGCTTAAAACCTACTATTGAAAGTACTTAATAGTCACTTTTTTGGGTAAAAATTTTTACATGGGTGATATTTCAAGTTTTTCTCTCCGACTTTTTAAAAGTATGAGCGATGCATACTCCTTCATCAATGGTGAAAAAAAAACAATCATTTGTAATAGAATGAAAGAAAATAACATTGCGTCATGGTCAATTTTCTTTCGTATTCTGTGTGAGATTCTACCACTGTTGTAAAATACCCTGTTTTTTTCTTCTTCATTTCTATCGTTATACATACGCCCTGTTACTCTCTTGCTGGAGCTCTTCAAATTTCTCAACGGTATTGATCGTCTTCGTTCATTTTCGACCTATTGATTCAATTTTCGATCTACATCTAAATGTGACTTCGATTTAGCACTTCAACAACATTTACTATTGACCATCGTCGGAGTTATTCCACTTTACCTTTCTGATCACGGCGGAACTACAAATCTCGTTAATGATTCTCTTATGTCTACAGTTCCACTCTCCATCCATTCACTGATTTACAACCACTGACACTTTTCCACATCGATTTTATTGAGAAAAACAACACAATCTTGAATGAAGCTTCGTATCTAAGTCAATCCGTCTGTCTTTGATCAAATGTTGCACTCGGCGTACCAACGATCTGCCATCTACCTATGCTCAAGTATTGTGATCTGGGCTGTGGCATCGTACATCAATCCACATTCTCGAAATCGATAACCATCTCATGATCAATCGACTTTTTCTCGATACTAATTTTCCAATTTGACAACAAAGATTTCTCGAATCTATTCAAACACACACTTCGACTTCGTCATCTTTATGCGATTCTTTTCTCTGATCTCAGTAATGATGTCTCTATTTGAAAATGCATTGAATTTAAGTCATTTAACAGTTGATACATCGGATGCTGTCTTGAAGAGTGACAATAAGAGAAAGAAATTTCAATACTAAGAAAAAAATTATATAAAAAAAGACAACATGATATTATTTTTATAGGATATTTCCGTACTTAATCAACCACCAAAAATTCAAAAGTACTCAGAAAACTTTTCATTTTAACGGACCTTGTAGAGTTTTTTTGCTGATCATTTTAATAAAAAAATATTTTGGATGTTATTGAGAAATAACCATATTATCGTCAAAATATTAAACAATGTCAAATACCGGAAGACTCAAAATATTTTCAACATAGTTTGTTTTGCGAATATCTCCACAGAGATAAACAATAAATCTTTTTCTTTTTTTACAATAAACAAATTCCTATCGCAAAACAAAAGAGTTAAAAAAAGTCTTCCAAACATTTTTATTAGTATTCTGTCTATTTTTTATGTGATTTTTTTCTTAGCACTGAAATTTGTTTTGCTGATTATATTTTATATTCAAGGATTTTTCAAATTGAATAGATGCATATAACAAAAACGTTGTGCAAAACTCTTGACCTACACTGTCATTATGCGTATAGCAGTTCGCCATGTCTATGAACTTCTTTGATAACACCGTTTTTCTTTTGATTACGATTTACTCGTCCATTTTCTCCCTATTAAACATCAATATATATCAGACGCAATATACTCAAACTGTAGCATTTATTTGTTTTATGTTGAACACAAGAGTTTATGTGAATTTCACATTTTAGACTCATTATAAGCTACACCTATAAGTTTTTCTGATAATTTTATTGACACAACGGACGATAGAGACAGTGATCAATGTCCAGCATCCGATGATGGTGATGGTTGTTCATTCACTAATCCTCTATATGCAAGTGAACGTATTCGTGGCAAACTTCGTCTTATTCTAACAATAATTATAACGGTAATACTAACAACACCGAATATAACAAATGCAATAGATATTCCATGAACAATTGGAAAATAGCGTAAAACTTTTTTATGCAATTCATTTGCTATCTTTTGATCGATTGTTCCTGATTGATTTAACCATAAAGCAGGTAATATAAGATCATGTAAGTTTTTAAGATCATCAAATAGTGGATCATATTGTATAAGAATATTAAGTTGAAGACGCTTTTGTGCATTTAATACGTATCCGGTAAATGGTTCAATCTCTAATACAGTTCGATGAATATCGGCGTTAGGCATTAATCCATTTATACGTGATTTATATCTTTTAGCAGCATAGAGAAAATGTGGTAAAGAGATAATTATAGGTGCATCTTGTTTACATTTACTAACATCGAGTACACCTGAATCAAGTGTGCCAAAACCAACATTATCCGGGTTGATAGTACCATTGTAAAAGACTTCGGCTGGTATTGAAAAACTTTCGGTTTCTATATTGAGTACCGATGAATGATATTCAAATGTAATATAGATTGAACGACAAATTTCGGTGGAATATAGATAGAGACGTTTATTCACAGATGTTAGTGGTGGAAACCAATTACCATCTGTACCATTGATTTGATTACATGATGGCGTATGCCAGTAAGGTAGAACTGAGATATCTGTAATAATGACGAGAGTATCAAACTAGATTTCCTACTCGATTCGATAAACTGTATATCAGAGTGCAAGTTCGATTTTCAGTCCAATCAATGCAGAATATTTTCAAAACTATTGACAAATAGTTACCGAGTGTGAGTGTGGGTTTGAGTTTGAAAGAATTAAAACTTCACAACCACACCTATACTCTATACCTACGAATAAAAGTGTGCTATTTATTCCATACTAAATCCCTTATGATCTTCTAACTTCCCAAGGACACCCATAAAAACTGAGGATTTATTCAAATTTTAAATCAAATGAATCAACGTCATGAATCATCCTTATTCTTATAGCAGCACTCTCCTTTATTTGTATACGATTGGAGTTCAAATACTGCATCTTACCATTCCATTTATCGATATAGTTCAATCGATTGATATCATCTTCGCCTAGATAGAATTTTGTTTATCATATAATCATCTTATATTTCTCTTGACATATCTTACCTGTAAAGACTGTAAAAATTCCATTGTCGGTATTGTTCTGTCTGTAGAAATATCCAAAGTGATCATCGGGTACAAATTGTCCAACAATAGGCAAACGTTTGGCTGCTTTTAATAAAGGATCTTCATAACCCCAGATCCATTCACGAGCTGTATGTGTAACAAATAATGATTCATTGAATACTTTTGCAATAAGATTAATCAATTCGTGAGTAATGTTCGACAAATTATGAGAAAGTGCAAGAAGTGATATAATAGACGTATTCATCATTTTTATCGGCAATTCTTCATCATTCGATGACATATTTCGTTGAAATGTATATGATACGGGTTGATGATAGCTGACTGTATGATTTAGATTGAAATGGACATCTATTTTGACTCGTCTTTTCAAATAGGTAAATGGACCATGTTGAATAAGCATAGGTTTAAGACCTTGTTGAACAACTTCGTCTACATTGACACATTCCCATAGCCAAAATTGTACATAGATAGGCACTGGTGATGAAATCCATGAATCGAGTTGATCGGAGTCAGTACTCAGTGGTAATTGTTTGTTAATTTGAGCTTTAAGGAGCTCTGTACCAAAAACAATACCTACACTGATAAAAATATCCGGGGAATGATCTACCCCTGCACTTAAAAACTTCGCCTATAAACTCTTCGAGGGTTTATTCCTATGTGATGAACCCTTTAAACGTTTATCAGTCGAACCGTTTATGAGATTATGGGTTTATGAACACACAATGGGTTTATGAAGGTTACATAAGGGTTTCTTATTCTACGATTTTAAGGTGAGCGTATGTTGTTCAACTGATGAGAGTAGATCATTGTCCACCTTCAGGGTAAGGGTATTTAATTATTCGCTTTTGGATTTATTATTCTACTTTCTCGTTTGAAGGGAATATTACTCTGCCTTTCTAGGTAGAGTATGCTACACTTCCCAGAAACAGTTCATTATTCTACGCCTTAGGATAGATCCTTCCACTGTTTCGTTGAAAGGGTTTATTATTCTACGTTTAGAGATTTATTTTTTCACTACTTCGTTGAAACGGTTTATTACTCTACCGAAAGCGGTAGATTGTTCCACCCCTTCGCAATAAATGGTTTATGATTCTACGTTTAGAGGTTGATTCTTTCACTATTTCGTTGAAACGGTTTATTACTGTACGAAAAGCGGTAGATTGTTCTACCCCTTCGCAATAAATGGTTGATGATTCTACGTTTAGAAGTTGATTTTTTCAGAATTTTTTAAAAACGGTTTATGATTCTGCGGTGAGAGGTTTGTTCTTCCAACATTTGGTTGAAAGAGTTTATTATTCTACGGTAGTATAAATAGTTTGTTTCATCTGATCCTTAAAAATGATTTATTATTTTTAATTCAATAATGATTATGTTTCAGTTAGCATAACAAATTTGATTGATACATAGTTGTCAGTAAAATTGGGAACGATAATTATAACACTAGCTATCAGCGTCTGTTAGAGCTTCGCTAAATATAATGGTAATATGAAGTAACTGAAACACATCTTTTTTATCTGGAATTGTATTTGAAATTATTGATTATCGATTTTCTGTGATAATTCTAAATGTTACGAATAGGTATCACCATTTATCGGAATTTTCCGTGCTTACATGAAGCAGTAAGTTAAACTAGACTATTTGATCGAAGATAAGAATTTACTGATATTACTTCCTGTGAAGTTCTATGCAGTGCTTCTAGTAATGGATGTACACCATTGTGACAAAGTGTCCACGAATCTTGCCACTATTAGTTGCTACTCTGTTTTGCTCCGCATTCCAAAAAACAAATGGTCAACTTTACCCTTGCTGAAGAAAATTGACATTTCATTTTTCTATTTTTCAGATATTTGTAATCCTTAGTTTTGTTATCATTTCATCTGTGTTCTAACTCTAACATCTTCTGAATAAAAGTTCTATTGATTTTAACGTTCGATCTATATCCATTTTATCGAGCAATAGTCTAATTGAATGTTTTTGACATCCTTTTTTGTCTTCCTTTTACATTCATGGTTTTCAAGCAGTTTTTAGCATTTTACTTCTTTATATTTATGTGATTATAATTATTAAATAAGTGAAGAAGCATAGGTTTAGTATACCTGAATTTTATTAAGACTATTCGTTTTGAATCGCGAACACAATTGTGAGCAACATTAGCAACGATTTGTTTCTTTGCGATATTTTTCACTTCTCCATTCTCTATTCCGATCCTTAAGTCTGCTCATGTTGTGTTTATAATCTTTTTCTTCAATTAGTCGTCTAATTTAATCCTAAACAACTTCTGAGTAATATTCGGAAGGATTGGTTTCTTGTCAATCTATGTCAGTTTTGTATTAACCATCTACTTCCATTAATCTCATGGGTTTTTATTCATTTGTTCCCTCTAAGAGTTATGTGAATTCACCAGCATTAGGTATTGCATCGTATAGTACACAAGTTACTTCTCTGCGTTGCTTTTGTTTGGATCAATTTTTATATTTCATATCGATCACTGGTTCAGCGATATGGTTTATTAGTTTTTGTTATTATTCTTCATCTTTGTCTTATACAAATCCATCAGTATGATCTATTAAAGCTTATAGTGGATGATTAATTTTCTGATTTATTCATTTCTAATGAGTTATATGAGTGGATCCGCATGATCCTTTGAGCAGCTTAGAACCCATCTTTTAGGCTAAAATTTCATTTAAACTGCTAAAAATAAATACTTTCATCAGATTCGCGTGCCTTTTTTCGAAGTGATTTTGTGAATAGGTGCATTTAGCATAGTTAGTCGTAATAACGCTTGTGCTTGATTCGAGAGCTATTGTTTCATTCAGTTCCCGCTTAGTTTTGTTTTTTTTTCATGGTATTTTAGAATATTGACCTGCTTTATTTGGAGCCCGTAGGTTTGTTGTTCGTGATCGGTAGTTTCAGTATGCAATCCCTCCCGTTGGTTGCTTTAGATGTGGTTTTTAGTTGTACAGATGGTGCCAGTTTGTCAAAAGCTATTCTTTATGTCAGACGTCTGGTTTTCCCTTATTTTTTAAAGCCCTTGTTTTCAACTGTTCCTCGTTAATGAGTGACCAATTTCAGTTCGACTCTTAAAAAAATACTGGCTTCCTTAAAAACTGAAGCAGTCTCGGAGACCAATTCAGAAAACTTTTTCATTTTGCGAGAGCGTTTCCGATTTTGCCTTATCGGTGTCCAAGGCCTCGGAAACTGTTAGATTTCCTACAGTATTGATCCAAACACTGAAGATATTTTAGAATACCTTTTTCCTCCTCTTAGAAACCGAACGCCATTCGAGAAAATGGCTGGTGTTGTAAGAAAGTGATTTTGTCGAAAAATGTGCTTGGTATCCGAAATGGTATGGGAGAATGCGTTTTCCTTTTCCGAAATAATGAGGATGATGGTGCAAGTTTTGAAACATTTATAGTTTAGGAAAAGAATCGTAGCAAACAAGAGTTAGTTTTCGAATTCCTGTTTAATATGCGAAAAGGTTTCCGATAGTAGAAAAAAAAAATTTAGCGTTTCACGTGGAGATTTTCCCTGAAAATTAGATTCAGTTATGAAAATTCGAACATTGGTCCTAAGACCATTATCTTCGATCTCCTTTTTTGATGACTATTAAAGACTCCATTTAGTTTAAAAATACTTCTTCATCGCATCTAACTTTATTTATTTTCATGCCATTCTTTTTGTCCATCATTTATCTTACGATCTCAGTCTGTTTAAAACTATTAGAATGACCCTATTTCTTATTCAATTTTTTCAAGTGAATCTTGATTCTGAATATGTCATAGTCAAACAAGTTGAAGTTGACGAATAGATATTACAACAAATAATCTTAAAATCACCTTCTATTTTTGTATACTTTGACTAGATGGCTAAAAAAGCACAAATTAATATGACGGTTTTAATTATTAAAAGTTTTCATAATTAAATATACATAATGAGCGACTCGTCAGACATTCATCAATTAACCTCTATTATTGCTGGCAATTCATGGGACCAAAGATATCAACAAATATGAGAAACATGAGGACGAGTAAACATTTGTCAACATTACTTTCATTCAGGTGACATCAAAATGATGTATGCATTGTTATCGAATCAATCCTTCGCTTGGATTCTTCCACTCACATATTTAAACTAAAACAGTGAATGTGAGTATCATCCTCAGTTTCGGTCAATCGAATACTAATTCAGTTTAACTAGTTTAGAACACTCAACTTTAATCTCACGGGTGGGTTTATATGATAATCAACTATCCATATATTATTTCTCTCTTGTTTCTTTGTTTTAAATAATTCAGGTTCAATATTCAATAGTGAGCTTAAATTATTTGCACCAATCGTTGTGGCTTTTTTCTTTTTGTTCTGGCCAGTTCAACTTAATTGTTCAAAGTAAGATTCAATACTAATTATCTCTGAACAGATTTATTACTTCATAGTTTACATAGTTGATGTATTTCGCCTACTCTCTGAAAAAAATTCGTTTCCTAGAAAACCAACATGGCTTCATGAACTCATTCAAAAGCTCTTTTAGGTTCGCGAGAGGGTTTCAGGGCGTTTCAAAGATCATCCGTAATACTCCTTAGGTTTCCGATGTTTGGGAAACCAAAAGATTCCTGAAAATACTGATTTGAACGGACTTCAAGTATTGTTGAATACATTTTTCTTCGTATCGAGAAACTAACACTATGTTCGAAAACCCGTTCGGTATTGTGAGAAACTAATTTTGCCGGAAAAACTGAGTTTGTATTTAAAATGGTACACGAAGCTACTTTTCTGGTTTCCATAGTTTTTAGTCAGAAACTAAAATTGCTTTAGAACATTTTGAATTTCAAAAGCTTTAATGGGAAATCAAAGTTAGTTGTCAAAGTCCTGTGTAAAATTCTACAGTATATTCGAACTGGAACAATTGGTTTTGTATATTTTATAAAAACATGTTGATCAGATGAGGAACATTTTTCGAACAACACCTTCGACGCTGAAAATTTTATTTTTGATCTTTGCTCTCGATCAGTCGTAGAGATTATTAGTTCAATAAAAGCTAGTAATATATTCCCTATAATTTACTTAATTACATAGTGTTATTTCTATGTATCATTTCCCCTCGAAATCAGCAATCATTCCAATCTTCTGAAGTCATCTTGTGTTAACTTTACATTTTCTGACTATTCTGATTAACGAATATATGAGAGGCAGCGTAATGATCATTATTAGTGTCGAAATCATATTTGATTCATGCACAGTTATATTAAATTGGAATCAAGCAACGTCTTCAATCGTACCGTTAAGCATACCTACGATTTCTCATAACGGATTGTGTCTTTTCCTTGTATTAAAATATCCCAATAATCGAGAGAAAAGTAATTGTCATTTCACCAATTCAGAAAAACTAAGCATTAATTTGCTTTCTTTTTAGATCAATGGAAATCCAATCGTCAATGTAAGCGTTCCATTTCTATATGATAAAACTAATCTTATCTTCTTTAGGTATTTAGTTAGTGTTTCAATCAATGGACAAAGTAAGTCATATTTACTTAAATAAAAATTAATTGACTGCTTTCTTTTCTATTTAGATCCACTCAAATCGAATCGTTCAAGTAAGTTTTCTTCATTTAAATGGCAACCGATCTTATTTTTTGTTCTTTTTAGTTTATGCTTCAATTAATCTATAATGTGAGTCACAATTCTATAAAGGAAAATTAATTGTTTGTCTTATTTCCTTTCAGATCAAGCGATATCGAGTCGTGTGTGTAAGTTTATCCCTGTATATGAAAACTAATATTTTCTTTTGTTTCTTTTTTAGCTACTGTTTCAATCAATGAGCAACTTAAGTTACACATCAAATACAAAAACTAGTCGTTGGTTTTCTTTCCATTTGTATCTATGGAAATCGAATCGTGTATGAACGTTAACTTCCTTTACATGACAAATAAATGTAAACCCCTCTGCAGAATAGAAGCCCACCCCGTAGGTTAAAAGTCTCCGTTGAAAATCGAGGTTTACTTTATGAAAAATAAACTAAAACCGATGAAAAATGAAAGAATCAACATTTCTCTATTAAATAACGCAAAAACTGGCACCGGAGCATGTTTTGTTACAAAGTTACAGCTTGCGGAACAGAGGCACCCACCCTGGGCTTCTATTCTGCAGGGGGGTTTACTCGTTCGTTTTCTTTTAAGTATTATTTCTATCAATCGACAAGGTAAGTCGTATTTCAATGAAGAAAAACTAATCGCTTGTCTTATTTCCTTTAAGATCAAACGAAATTGAGTCGTGTATGTAAGTTAAGTTCCGTTACATGAAAAGTAAATGTATGCATTGGTTTACTTTTAGGTATCTTTTCTATCAATGGACAAGGTAAGTCGCAGTTCCACAAAGAAAAACTAATCAGTTGTTGTCTTTCTTTATAGATCGAAGCACATCGAATCATCCATGTAAGTTATGTTTCCATGGATGTTAACTCGTATTGTCTTTTGTTTCTTTTAGGTATTATTTCTATCGTTGAACAAGGTGAGTGACATTTACATAAAGAAAAACTAATCATTTGTTTTCTTTATTTTTAGATCAAAGGAAATCGAAGTGTCTGTGTAAGTTTTTTTCCTGTATATGAGTACAATTGTTTTCTTTTGATTTTTTTTAGATACTGTTTCAATCGATGGACATTGTGAGTCTCATTTCTATTGAGAATAGTTAATCGGCAAGTTTCTTTCTTTATACATCAAAGTGCATGGGATCTTGTATGTGATTTTTATTGCTATTTCTATGATAACTAATATTTTCTTATGTTTGCTTTTAGATATGATAATGATCAATGGATAGAAAGGTAGCGTGAATCCTGTAGTGACTTTCAAAGAATGCGTTTGTTTGTATTGAAATACGCGTTGGTAGGTAGAGGTTGGGGGGAATTCTTGCATGTATCCGATTTTAGAACATTCGACTTCAATCTTACGGGTAAGTTAAAACACGAATCGAGTATTAATGTATTTTTTCTTTTCTCGTTTCTTTCCTTTACGTACTTTATGCAGAATGTTGAATAGGGAGTTTAATTCGTTAATCCACTTATTGCAACATTTGTTTCTCTTGGTCTAGACAGTTGAACGTTACTGTTTAAATTGATTTGGAACACTAATTGTCTCGGAATAGTTTATTGTTGTTTCACTATATGTATGTCGTCTGTGTGTTGAGAGAGAGTTCTATATTGAGTGATTGTGTGTCTGAAACTAAGTTCAGTTTATGAGTTCGGCTTATTCAACTTTAATTTTGTGAGTGAGTTTTAATACTAATCGTGTATTAATGGTATTTCTTCTGCTTTTTTAGATGATTTATGTTGGATATCAAAAAGTTAGTTGAAATGCTTCAAACTAATGATGGTAGTGTTTTTTGCTTTTAATGAAGATGATTGAAAGTATTTAGTAAAAGTGATTTGATATGCTAATCCTTTTTGACTATATGTTTCCTTCTTTTGTTTAGGTGTTTCGCCCACAAAGGTGAAAGCAAGTATCAGTGCTGAATCCAAAATTGTATGGCCTCTTTCTGTTTTGTTTTATTTTTGGAATATAAGTAAATGCGTCCAAGTAAGTTCACAATGTGAATGCATCTCACTATAATAATCTTTCTAGTTTGTATTTCAGAAATTGGAGTTTTTGGTATTGGAAGTGATACGGAAGCTCAATAGGTATGGTTATGTCTAATTTAGATTCGAGGGGGTGACTTCCACGGTAAAGATATTGGATTAAAGTGACAGAAGTGAATTTTAACTTCGCTCAATAGGTAATATGAATATGAATCTCAGAGATGACAATTTTCAGGGTAAATAAAAGGTCGTGAGGCTGGTTAGATAGACTGAATAGGAGGGATCAGAGTGGATAGGGCGCGAACATTTAATCCATTTTGAAGGTCGGTTTTCAAAGTCACACTAGTGGCAGTCTATTTATATTTCCGACGTTATGGGAAACCTCGAGGATTTCTGTGGAATGCCGGTTTTTAAGAAAATAGTTGATAGACATGAGCAAAACTCTGCACTACCCTCCGATGAACCTTTGTGGAGTTGAGGAAAGCGACCAACCCTCTGAACTATCCTTTGACCAACCTTTGTGGAGTTGATTGAACTAATAAACGCTTTCAAATAGCTTTAGTGAATGTATCTCGTCTTCCTATACACCTTCATAGACGAATATTTCTGTTGAAATGAATTGGTTTAGAAATTTCATCTACCCTTGGTAAGGGTTTATGAAAATGCAACGTATGATATACCCTTTTTGAGTTTTTCAGTCGTATAAACCCTTTGATAAACTTTTCTACTGTGGGTATTATAGCTTGATAAACTGTTTTATTTAGTGATTTAATGGGTAGATAAAAGGGTTTATCACATCCTGATAAACGGTCGAAAAGGGTATATCATACGTTGCATTTCGATATACCCTTTAAGAGATTATCATTCGGTGCTTTTTTTTATCAGTGTACTTGATGACATGGACAGGTAAGAACATAAATAATATTTCTTGTGGTACATGTCGCTGGACAATTGAGAATAGATCGATATCCAGTGATAAAAGTATATTGTTGATGTGATCCAAATTGTACGATTGGTTGATGTTGACGATATATCAATTTGTAAGATGGATAACATAAACAACATGATAGTTGATTCCATCGTGACATTCCATATCGAGCTTGTGCTTTACTGAGACAAAATAAACTTTTCTCATTGGCTATTCTAGGTTGGGCTCCTCGATAGGAACAAGTCTTCATTAAGAAGAGATCAACATCCATTTGTAGGAAAAATTCCAATGCCAAAGAATATTCATCTTCGTGAAAACATTCTTGATCGGGTCGTGTCAGGAAACGATGAATTCGATTTGCCGCTGACAATTGAGCTAATTGCTTAAGTCGTTTATAATTAAATTCTAAAATATCTTTGTTGATATTTCATAAACGACTCAAAGAAAAGATTTGTCTCTCATGATCGTTGATCGGTCTCATTGACGTTGGTTGATGATATCCATATTGACATCTTCGTTCTAATTCTACTTGATTGAGACGATGTACTATATTTTACAAGTAACACACCAACAGGAGTGTGAGTGTGGGTGTGGGCAAACATAAGACTCACATCCACACTCCACACCCATCCACACCCACACATCCACACCCACACATCCACACCCACACATCCACACCCACACATCCACACCCACTTCCCTTAATCCGATTTTTTTATTCCTTTTTTGTGCAGAGTGTCCTGATGAGTGTATATTCTTTAAATAAATAACATGAAACGCGTCGGCAAAACCAAAACTCTGCATTTATTTCAAATTTTCTCAAAGCAACATACAGAAAATCATTCAATTCTGACATAAAATTGATTGCTGAAAAGTAAGAGTTGAGAGTAGCAGATTAGTTTGTCTTTTCTTCAGAAGAGAGATTGATCTGTTTTTCAATTGAGGCACGAAAATGGTGAATATCGGTTTTCGCGGAATAAAGTTGAAAAAAGTGATCAGGAGTGATCCCTTATTCAAACCCGATATGAATAAATCAATTCTAACGTGGGCCGCAAAATGGCCTTATCCGCCCTCTTCCTTTAACAAGTGCTCTTTTTCTCATAATCTTCAATTATTTTTTTTTTGTGCAATTTATATTAGATTTTAATAAAAACATATGCAAAGATTCACAAAACCCTCACTCATAGAGTTAAAATACGCATATCATTTAGTTTGATATCAGCATGGTAGAATACTCGTATATTTACTGTTAGAAAATTTTGGATGTTTTATGATCATCATACATGTTTCAATGAAGAATCGAAGTAAAAACAATATCTTTCATCACCTATTGCAAATCATTGACATATTTTCAAAAATGGTCACAACGTTTTATTTCAATATTTACCGCACTTTACTTTTAGTTCGCATCAGATAGTCGATTCAAAACATACACTCTATATGTCTGAGACGATGATCCTATAAGAATAAACTTTCTGGAAAATAGATCCAAGCAGGTCAAGCCTCGAGATCTATCTAATAGGCGCTAACGATCAGGAGTCTTTAGGCTTGTGAACCGACTTTACTTGAATTATTGTAAAATTTGATCAGATTTCTTTTATAACAACCTGCTTCTATGTAAATAAAGTGTCGGCAATCCAAATTTCACGTAAAAAACTTTTTTTCGCGTTTCCTTTTACATCATCTGATAAAGGGTGAGCTGCTACACGACTTTATCAAAATGTACAACATATTCTACTTTGTTCTATTTTTCTGCTTCCGAACATAATTTTTTAAGATTCAGCATAAAAAAAACTGAGGACAGACAAGTTGTTAAATAGACTATAGACTCAAAACTCTATTGATGGTGCGCTTCGAATGCACCATGTAGAGGTCGATTTTGTAAACCTATCTAGTTTTTCTGCGTAAGCGATGAAGTGAAATATTATATCTTATTCGACTATAAATCTTTTTTTTCTTTCCTTTTCTATGTTGAAAAAAATCGTCCTTTTTAGTACCATAACCATTTTAAGCAGTATTCAACAGGTTTTCGGATTCACATAAGATTTTTCAGTCAAAAACAAAACACAGATTCCGTATCAGCAGAAAAAACCTGAGTGAAACGAAGTATCCATCAAGTTAATTGGAATTTTTTCATCTTCCTCTTTTTTTTAGGTATTCTGACTTACGTAGGAAAACTAGATAGGTTTACAAAATGGGCCTATACCTGGTGCATTCGACGCAGGTTTGATTTTCAGAAGCAGAAAATACTGCACATTTTGAAAAGGTTGTGTTTCTCTCATGGTGATCTGTAGCTCACGCTCTATCAGATGATGTAAAACAACGCGAAAAAAAATTATTATTGAAATATCGATTTGGCTGCACCTTACAAGCAACACATATGATGGCGAAAATTTTAGTTGAAGTATGATCAAATAGAGTATTATTTTTTGAAGAAAGTTTTATAAGGAATTGAAATACCTTCACCAGTACTTATGGAAGACATGGGTGAAATCGACTTTTTTTGGAATGGGAATTAGTAGATTTGAGCTTTTTTGTTTCGGAATCCTCCATGTCTACCTTTTGGACTGCCTCAAGTATTTTTTATCTTTAAAGATGATCATATTAAATTCTTTCGTTCTCATCATTTTGTTCTGGTGCACGAACTGCATAGCAGAAGTAAGATCATTAATAAATACATCAATCATTTTTTATTCTACATTAAAAACCTTGTAGGATGAGCATTGTATCTGGTATGGAGAATGTGGTCTAAATGCGATGGGTAGAGTGACGAATTGTTATTACAATGGTACAGCATTACAATTGACTAATAAAGAAGCATTAAAGACTATGAAATCAATGTGTAGCATGTTTTACAATGGTAAATAGATTTGATTCAATATAAAAATTAAAGTTATATTCGCGAGAGATCTTTATTGTTGATATCTAATGCTACTGAATTTATAAGATATCTCAAGGCTTCGGGTTTATTGAATTCCTATTTGATTTAAGTCTCCTTTTTATATGATGAAAAAAGAAACAGAAAGATAAATATATATTGATTCGTTATTCTAAACTAATGATTTCAGGTCCGGATACTTATACATGTTGCGCACCTGATCAGATTCGTCGCCTAAGTAACCACCTTGGAATAATCAAACTGTTGTCCGGTGATTGTCCATCTTGCTTCTACAATTTTCGATCGTTATTCTGCTCTATGACATGTCATCCACAGCAGAGTCATTTCATAACTGTAAGAGAATTTGGTAATAGTACATTATATCCAGGCAAACAGACCGTCGAGTCAATTACAAATGTACTTGCCGATGATTTCGCTCAGCGTATACTTGATGCATGTCGGTGAGTGACAAAATCGAGATGAAATATTGATTATTCATTGTTTTTTTTGCTCTTGTCAGAGATGTTCTTTATCCGGACAGTGATCAACATTCGTTGGATACTATGTGTGGTCGCCCTTATGATCGGTGTACAAAAGAATCATTGTTTAATTATTTAGGTCTCGACAATCCTTTACAACCTTTTCCAATATATTTCAATTTAACAAATAATACTTGTCAAAATAATTATTACAACCAATCAACATTTCAATGTAACGAACCGGTTCATACTCAATACGAAAATCAACCCATGTGTGATCATTCAGTCAGTTATTGACAATGATAGAAGAAGAAGAACATTTTTTTGTATTGTAGGATTGTCCGAAAGCACCACCTAAACCATCTCCATCTGATGTACCGGGCAAATATTCAAAGTAAGTAGATGAGAATCGGTTACAATTCTATCAAATCCATTTTTTCAGCATATCGATTCGTACGACAGAATTAATCATCGTACCTGATAATCAAACATTTCAAACTCACTATTATCTATCTCCACCTGGTCCACTCTCTGAGATTGTGGTTGGACCGGCACTTGACCTAAATTTTCTAACACAAGTGCTCGATTTGCAAACAAATATTCTCAATCTTGAAGGTTATCTGCCACCAGATAATATTTCTGTCCGTTTGACCGATATCTGTTTGAAACCAAGCAATACCAATTGTGCAGTTTTTTCTGTTCTTCAATATTTTCAAAATTCACGCGACAATCTTAACAAAAGCATAGGTGATAATTTCTTTCTATATGCCGATTATATCACACATATATTTCAATGCTCAAAAAAAAAACCCTCTCTTAATGATGCATTACTAAATATTTCGTGTTTTTCTGATTTTGGTGGCATAATTCATCCAACTGTAGCATTTTCGAATTATCCGAATACGAAACATACTATCGAAGCTAAAGGATTAGTTATTACTATTATCATCGAGAATTCAAATAAACCTGAAAAAATTCAAAAAGGTAAGTTATTATTTAATTTGTCAGAATTTGACGTTCATTTAAATGATCTAGCTGAAGCATGGGAAAAAGCCTTTATAAATTACATGCAAAATTTCACTGCTATTCAAGACTCGTTACGTGCTGAAAATCGTTTGAATGAATTGGCAAATTTTACTGTATACTACAGTAATGAACAGTCTATTAAAAATGAACTTAATACTATGCTTTGGTCAAACAATCAATCAAATATCAAATGATTCCTTCTTTTTTAATGATTAACAAACACAGGCAACTCTTGTTCCTCTTTTCACCTTATAATTAATAAAAACAGAAATTATCAATGATTGATACTTACCTTAAAATTCCAATCAACCAATTTTGTATTTGAAAAGAAGTTTCTGTAATAAATATTAACAAAATCTAATTGAGCACCATTAATATCAATTAGTTGAAGTATGTGTTTGATAGAAAATTTAAAATCGGAAGAATCATTTTATTTTCGGATCGATTTAATGCATTTCAACGATTTAAGGGAAACTGAATTACGCTTCAGATCTTTAGATAGGATTCATAATAAGCATAATGGATCTAATCTACACTTTTGGAAATTAATTTCCAACAAGTATTTTCACATTGTCATACCCAACGGTGTGGGTGTAGGTGTAGGTGTGGGTGTTTCTTTTCTCATTAATTACATACACCCACACCCACACCCACACCCTTTTTCATAACTTGTTTTAATCTTGTTCTACTTTTTAGCAGTGGTTGCTCGTCACGCCTCTACCTGATCGAAGACACAACTGAAATACAGAAAGGTGAGGTCAAAAAGTTTCTCATTCGCTTGTTCGGTGGAAATGCATGGGGAAAAGATGATGAGAAAATATTCCTTGTTCAGAATCGGGCGACGTAGTTTTTAATTCATTACAAGTATGGCGAGTTAGGCTATGGGCCGAAAATGTATGGTTCGTTTGATGGTGGTCGAGTTGAAGAGTACATACCGAGTAGACGAATGGGAGGCGTCGATTTTTTTGACAAGAAATTGCAACAACAGATTGCACATAAACTCGCACTTTTTCACCACATGCTAATTCCAATGACGAACAACCGTCTCGAATGGGTCAACGTTGCAAAAGAGCGTTTTGAGAAGTTCGACACTGATGCCTCGCGTGTTTACCATAGGGAAATGGCTCGAAAAGGCAACTTCAGCGATATTGAAAAGTTACTGAGATGGCCATGGCGTGAAATAGATGCCTGGTTACATAAAACGCGCTCGCTAATCCACTCACCGGACGTATTGTGTACCAACGACAGAAACGCCGCCAACACACTTGTTCGCGAGCAGCCCGATCAACTGGGCGAATACATCACGCTAATTAATTTCGAAGCTGTCTCGCTCAATGAGCGTGGAAAAGATATAGGGATGCACTTTTGGTGTTACATGTTTGACGTGACCTCGTCTACGTTCTTGTCTGAATGCGATTATCTATCGGAAGAAATACTCTCGGACTTCATTAGCATGTATCTAAAGGAGAGCTAAAAACTTATTACCGACCGAGAATGGGATTCTGAAGATTTAGATTCAGTTGAACATGTTTTGAATGAGGCAGAATTTTTCGCAACAGTTGGAGCCTATTACATGGCCAGCTTTGCATTTGAACCATCGTTTCGTCCGTCAACTAATCCATTTGTCACGCCCGATGGTATGATAAGAGGGTATAATGTTGCAAGCCACTCTATTAAGTTCATCGAGGAGCGTACTAAAGTTTTTGAGGAAAGATTTGCATATCTGTTTGGTGACGAATTAACGAAATAAAATTGAATGCAAACAAAGCTTTGTGTGTTTGTGAGTTGACAATGTATCTTTGAAGATATCTTTATGCAAACTTTGATATAAAAATGTCAGCTAAACAACCCGCCTGATCTTAAACTGCGTTTAATTAGTTGTAACCAACATATTGAAAATCACGTTGTAATTCAATGGAAAAACTTGACATTGACAAAACGTGTGCCATAAGCATTGCGCGTCAGTATTTACGCGCACAATGGCTCGAGCTGCAAGAGAAAAGCATAAACCTTTCAGTTTCGAGGTATATTATCTAACACTGAGACAATTTTGCAAATATATTTTTTAGATTTAGCGGTGGGTACTCGTCCCGCCTCTATCTGGTAGAAGACAAAACTCGAATTGATGATAACGTGAAAAAGTTTCTCATTCGCTTGTTTGGAGACAAGGGATTGGAGAAAGAAAATGAGGACAAATTCCTTGTTCTGGATCGAGCGACACAATTTCTAATTTATTACAAGTATGGTGAACTCGGCTATGGGCCGAAAATGTATGGTTTGTTTAACGGTGGTCGCGTTGAAGAATGCCTTCCGAGCCGACCGATGGCAGGCGCTGGCTTGCTTGACAAGAAATGGCAACGACAATTTGCAGACAAGCTTGCGCTTTTCAACCACATGCAAATCCCAATGACAAGCAAACGTGTCAATTGGGTTAAAGTAGCGATGGAGCGTCTGGAGTTGTCCGATACTGATGCTAGCCGTAAGCATCATCGTGAAATGGTGCAAATGTGCAAGTTTAGCGAGATTGAGAATTTGCTCAAGTGGCCATGGTGCAAAACAGTTGCTTGGTTAGAGAAAACGCGCCCATTGATCAACTCACCAGATGTGTTGTGCACTAACGATAGGAACGCCGTCAACACCATTATCCGCGAAACGCCTGATCGATTGGACGAATACATAACGTTGGTCGACTTTGAAGTCACATCTTTTGATGGGCGCGGGAAAGACATCGGTAATCACTTTTGGTCTTATATGTTCGATATGACAGTGCCTACCTTCTTGTCTGGATACGACTACTCATCGGAAGGAATGAGCTCGGAATTCATTCGCATGTACCTAGATGAGAGTCAAAAACTTGTCACGGACCGAGAATAGGATTTTGATGGTTTAGATTCAGTAGAGCATGTTTTAGACGAGGCTGAATTTTTCGCCATGGCTCATGCTTTTTTTATGTTTAGTGTTGGATTAGAATCATTTCGCCCCTCAACTAATTAGTTCGGCTCGGCTGATGGTATATCTAAACTGTATAATGTTTCAAGGCACTGTATGAAATTCATTGACGAACGCATTGAACTTTTTGAGAGACGATTTGCATATCTTTTTAGTAGCGAATGAAGTAAATAAAATGATTAAGCTTTGTTTTCACAAGCACTGAATAAGTAACTGTGAGAATAACTTTACGCATGCAGCAATTTTGAAACGTCCGCTAGCGTACAAGCTGCATGACATCAAACTATTTGTTTACGTGTATTTAAACAGTATGCTTATCATTGATATGTTATCAATCGCGTAGCATTTGCTTACATGTTTTGCATATGCTTCTATGCTGTTTATCACATGCGTAGCCTTATGTTGATCATTGAATTTCTGTCACTTAGTTGATTGACGTTTACATTTCAAGTTTAGATGTAAATTTTATAACAGTTCGCTATGGAAACACTCGACATAGACAAAGCTTATGCGCTAAACATTGCACGTCAATACTTGCGATCTCAATGGCTTGAACTACAAGAACATGAAATTAATGTCTCGGTTTTAAAGTAATAAAAAAGGTTCTTCATAACTTGTTTTAATCTTGCGTTAATTTTTAGCGGTGGTTACTCGTCACGACTCTACTTGGTCGAAGACACAACAGAAATACAAAAAGGTGAAGTCAAAAAGTTTCTCATTCGCTTGTTCGGTGGAAAGGCGTGGAATAAAGAAAACCAGGATAAATTTCTCGTCCTAGATCGGGCGACGCAGTTTTTAATTTACTACAAGTATGGCGAGCTAGGCTATGGACCGAAAATGTACGGTTCGTTTGATGGAGGTTGGGTCGAAGAGTACATATCGTGTCGACTGATGGAAGACGCTGATTTCTTTGACAAGAAATTGCAACAACAGATTGCACATAAACTCGCTCTTTTTCATCACATGCAAATTCCAATGACAAACAGCCGTCTTGAATGGGTTAACGTTGCGAACGAGCGTTTTGAGAAGTCTGATACTGATGCCTCTCGTGTGTACCATCGCAAAATGGCACAAAAAGGCAACTTTAGGCACATTGAACAGTTACTCAAATGGCCATGGCGTGAAACAGATGCCTGGTTACATAAAACGCGCTTGCTAATTCACTCACCAGACGTATTGTGTACCAATGACAGAAACGCGACCAACACGTTGGTACGCGAGCAGCCCGACAAACTAGGAGAATACATCACACTTATCGACTTTGAGGCTGCCTCGCTCAGTGAGCGTGGAAAAGATATAGGGATGCACTTTTGGTGGTACATGTCGGACGTGACCTCGTCTACGTTCTTGTCGGGGTGCGATTATCCATCGGAAGAAATACGCTCGGACTTTATTCGCATGTATCTAAACGAGAGCCAAAAATTAATTACTGACCGCGAATGGGATCCGAACGGTATAGATTCAGTCGAGCATGTTTTGCATGAGGCCGAATTTTTCGCAATGGTTGGTGCCTATTACATGGCCAGCTTTGCATTTGAACCATCGTTTCATTTAACCAATTCCTTTGGCTCGGCCGATGGTATATTTAAACTATATAGTGTTGCAATGCACTGTATGAAATTCATTGACAAACGAATTGAACTTTTTGAGAAACGATTTGCATATCTATTTAGCGGCAAATAAAATAAATGAAATCATTAACAAACAAAGCTTATGAGTTTGTTGATTTCGAACCACTAGCTAGCGTATAAGCTGCACATAACATCAAACTATTGGTGATGTGTATTTAACAAGTATTCTTATCAATCGTGCTGCATTTGCCTACAGATTTGGCATGAATTTTTCAAACCAACAAGGCACAAGCGTTTCGATGGAGAAACTTGATATTGACAAACCATACGCTTTGAAGGGTGAGGGTGAGGGTGAGTGAAGCTACCATAATGTTAACATTGCACCTCAGCCAAGAGGATCATCAAGCTGGCAAACAATCTAAATGATTTCGAAAAATTTTAAGTTTAAAGTATTGGTTTAGTTTTCACCTGTTTTTGCCAATAATGTCGGGTTAGTTTTTGTTTGCATATGAATGATAAGGATCGTTATTAGCTGAAGTCGTGTGTTACGAATGATCGTTGTGTATCAATAAATGATATGTAGTGAGTGTTGAATATGTATATGGAGAGGAGAATACGTGGTCAGGTATAGATAATATTTCCATTATTTATAGAGGTTTTGTGCCGTTAGAATTCGTTGGTTGTTTGATGGGTTGTATAAGCGGAGACGATAAATGTTTGTTTATATCTTGAATGAAAGGAAAAAATGGAAATGACAGTTTAAATGAAAGTTAGATGTACAATGAGAGGAGATTAAATCATGAGTAGGTTATTGAACAAGAAGACGAACAAGAAATTAAACTTAACAAGTTTTTGGTTAGAATGAATGAGAAATTAGTATATTATTTCAATGGATCATATTGATATTTTTGTAATGACTGTTGATCTACATCTTTTTGGTTACTGTTGCCACGATTGTTTTCATGATAATTATCATTGTTATTATGATCATCACCATCATCATCATCGTCATCATCAGTGTTATGAGGAAGTAGCTGATTAAAGTGATCTTCGAATTCAAAACGTTGTATTAATACTTTTTGACGACTTTCAATAATATTTATTAGTATATGTATGTTTAATTTTAAGTAATTAAATGGTAATATATTCTTTCCTTTTTCATCTTTCTCCTTTAGAGCAAGGAACATTTGCTTTTGAACTTCGATTTGATGTCCGTAATTGACATTTTGAAATATATTTTGTTGATTATTTAAAATAGTTTTCTTTGTGTATTGTTCAGCGATTGTTCGGCTATTTGTAACTAGAATGACAGTAATAGCGAATTAAAAATTGAAATCTAATATATAGATGAATGATTATAAAATAGAAGAGAAAACAATTACCTGTTGACCATCTAGTTGTAAATAATAAAATGCACGTAGTAAACAAATATCTTTCACATTTAACATTAGTAAATGTCGTTTCTTGATAAATTTAAGATTCAATCGTTGTAGATCTTCTCGTACAAATATAAAAATCGACAACTGTTATTAGTTTTATATCAACTGTGGATGACGATGATGATGATAGTTGTTGTTGATCTGAGATAGATTTGGCTAATTCTTCTGTTATAATTCGGAATTCTTCTTCAGTATTCTTCAGATGTTTGTTGATATATTTCTGAATTTGAAAAAATTGATGATTGATATGATTGCGTGCTAATAGCATTTTAGACATTGTAGAGAGTCAAGGAAGAAGCGATTCAGTCATATTAATATAACTTTGGTATAATTCAAGTTCCATTTTTAATGAACAATATGTCACCAGTAAAGAAGCATGTTGTCGAATAAATAATAAAAGTGTTCGATCTGTTTCTAACCATTGATTGACTTTAATTCGAAGAAAGAAATCGTAAATGATTGTCTTGAGTAATCGTTCTTTAATTTCATTATCAGATAGATTTTCATAGTTCAATCGTTGTGTTTCTTCCTCCTCTTCTTGTTGTTTCACGATTTCATCATTCAATTTTCTTTTTCTGTTCTCTTTCAATGATTTCTAAAAATAACATGATGAATGATTGAATATAAAATAGCAATGTAATCTTACTTGATCAATAGATAATGATGATAATGATGTCATCTTTTCTTCTTCATCTGATTTGTTTTCATTTATATTCGATGAATTGTCTCTTTCCATAGGAAGATTTTCATTTCTATTTTCGTGGAGCATTATTGCGAAATTGACTATTTCACTCTCTGTCTATGTGTATAAATCGAAGAATCTATCAATGATCTAAAAGGAGAAAAGAAAAAAAAACAAGAAATATGAACATATTTATATTGAAGTATAGTAAACTGAAAAGGGTGTGGGTGTGGGTATGAGTGTTGGTGGGTGTGGGTGTGGGTAAATAGTATCTCTTCATCCACACCCACATCCACACCGACACCCACCCACACCCACACCCTTCTTTAACTTGTTTACAAGTTTGTTTAATAGACTACTTCCTTTCTTCATTTGCAGTCTGATCCATCCGTACATTTTAGATACAGAAACAAAGTACTTTATCTCATATTTCTGATTGACAGTTTCAAGAGAATTTGTCTCAAATGAGAATATCATCTCTCTAAATAACATATTCGTGGACTTGTACTAGTTTCTCAATATCTACTGGACACACATTTAACGAGTGGATCAACTATTTTTAAATTACTAGTGTTGATTGAAAGTTAGATGTACTACGAATAACCGCGGATTAGGTTCAAATTATAACTGAATCTAGGAATTATACGCAGGCCTCGCAGCCGTATTACTTTCCTGATTTTTTCCTGATTTTTTAAAAGTGTCCTGATTTTCCTGATTTTGATCGAAAATCCTGATTTTCTCCTGATTTTGCCTGATTTACTCCTATAGAACTATTACTAAGCGGTTATTATTCATTCTTTTATTATCATCAGCTTATTCCTCAATATTTATCTAAAAATATATATATAGACTAAATTAAACCAAAAACAAGGATGATATTCACATAATAGTTAGTTCAGCCACTCGTTTTTTGTTTTTGTAATCGGTGTAAGTTCTCAACATTTTCAAATAATTGAGTTTTCAATACATAGCTAGCTCAGCATTAGCAATCAGACGTGTGTATTGTGCTTAAAAAACTAGGTGAGTGCAGTATGAAGGTCGCTAATGATCGCAAAACATCTGTGAAGTCGACCGTTGCCCTAAACTCTTTTCGCTCGGCGGTCGCATCCCACAACAAGTAGAAATTTGTTCCGTGTTATTTTTTCATATGTGTTGCGCTATTATATTTCTTGAAACTAGTGTTTCATTTCCGAACACTCGCGTAGGGGCAATAGTATAGATTTTAAAACATCACGAATGAACATTTAATTAGAAACTATGTATACACACGTATAAGGGATAGCATATTATGAATGAGCCTTTCTTCTTCTGTATTTTCGAGAACCTTAAAACGTTTCTAGAAACATGACTTGTAAAGAAAAAAAATAGAATATTTTGCTTTACAAGAATATTAAGTCCGTAGACAAAAAATTATTGTTTTTATATGTAAGCATGCTAAACAGAAAAAAGTATGAAAATCAGTACTGTCTCTTTAGTAGAATAGAACTGATTATAATAGTTGAATTTGAGCACTTTTATTGATCGTTGTGTCAACATCAAACCTTTATCTTTGAATCGAAATTTTCAACAAGATTGACTATCTTGTTCAAAGTGAGCTTCCAGTTTGAAAAAGTTAAACTCATAAAAGAAATTCAGTTGGGATAGTTAAATGATAGCGTGGATAAGTAAAGAAAAAGAAATCATATTATTGACTGAAGAAAAGGAAAAAGATGAAAAGCGTATTAAATATAAAATTAGATGGAAATATTTGTTCGAACTACTTCGAAGTTCGCCTTGAACAGAAAATCAAAAGATAATCGTTCCATATAAATATATATCAGCCCAGAGTACGTTAAAAAATGGATGACAAACGAAATCTTATTTTCTGCTGAATTCGTTTTCATATTGATGAACTTTAAAATAAAGAAATTTCTCTAGTGACTTTTTATCTACTTATAAAGCGCAAACTGTGTTCGCAGATGTATCCGACCAGAAAAATATTCTAACTAACCCTTTCAGATCCACCATGCTAAATATAGTACGGTTTCTCAAGGTTCATAATCCTTGAATAGCTCTCCAATGCAAAAAGATATCAAGAAACTGTTTTCTCTATTACATAGAGGAGGTTTCAATGTACATATCTATATAAGAGTTATCATCCTAATAAGACCACTAAGGTAGTAAGTCTGATGAGACTTTGCAGCAACACTTCTATTTTAAAAAGGAGGGCGAACAATGCCCTTTTGTGGCTCGCGAAATGGTTTGACTTTTACTGTTGAAGTCAAGTTAGGAGTGATCCGTAGTGATATTTCAAATATTGATTTGTAGATAAGTCTCAATCAAATTTTGACCCATACCCGTACTTCCTTATGGAACTAAGCAAAATATTTCATCATTATTTTCTTGGGGGTGACGGGCATGGACTGAAAATGATTTTAAAGGTTTTACAAAAAAGTTTTGATGAAAACAGCAAGAATGCATAATACACATCTTAGCTATGAAATCTCAACGAAATTTCATTCATTACTTTAACTATGACCCAGACAAGGTTAACCGTAGTTGCTCCCTACACGTTTATGCAAACTTGATTCTGAAAATCACTATCAAAGTGAATTCCACTTTTCCTGATTTTTTTATAAATTCCTGATTTTTATTAAAAATTTTCCTGTCTGCTTTCCTGATTTTTGGATATATGCCGTTGCGACCCCTGTATACGTAACAACAAACTTAGTGTCAAATTACATAATTATGTTTCGAAAGATTCCGATTATCGTCATTTTCATTGAAAAAAACTAATTACAATTGACTCAAGAATAAACGAACACAATAAAGTCAATGAAATGATCCCAGCGACTGTAGCAATAAAGCTTCTAGGCTATCATTATGTCAAAAAACTTCAAAAAGTAGTGAGATAAATGACATCAGATAAAAATTGAATTTATTTCAGTTTGTAACCTATCACTGAGAGAATCTGTTTCAATTTATTCAACAGACATAAACATAATTAGAATATATAAAATCATAATTATGAAGGCTGACACAATTTTATATGCTGAATATGATTTGGATATTTAATTATCACTTGAATTCGGTTGCAATCAGTTATCATACATTCAATTTTCAGTTAAACCTGGAATCTCTAAAGAATTTGCCCCTCTCCTCAGTGATCTTTCCGATGGATATTAAGAAGTGAATTTGCAAGTGTATACGACAGAAGTCTTTTTCGAAGTTTATGTTTCATGGCATATATTATCTCTACAACTATCTTTGTAGTATAAATCACTATTATACCATTCAAAGAATTATTATTGTCGCCTAAGATGTATGTAGTTGTATCTTTCAGATTGAAAATAAAATATCATAATTGTTTTTTGTTATTCAAGATTATGATATACTAGACTGAAAATGAAAAATTTAGTTTCTAGAGTAAAACCGATGGCATTTTGTCTTTCACTATCTTCTCATGTTTTCATTTTGAAAAAAAAATATACAACTTGATAGATCAAAAAGTAATATGGATGACAAACAAACTTCCGAGAACAATAAGACTACACATAGGAATGATACTTTAACTCTTACATAGTTGTTGCTCTGAGTAATAAAACATATTTTATCGAAAGTGGATTGTTCATCATCAGAATATCAGAATTCAAAGGTGCAAGAAGTGAAATATATAATAACTTTGAATAAACACCTATGGTGATATTAGTAAGCTAAGTTAATGGTTTCTCTTGCATTTTTTTTCTAAGCAATATCAGCCTGATTGAATATGTTGTATCGAAAAAACTTCGGTATCATTACATATAATAGTCTGCTCCAGGAGTTGCTGTGTGTTGCTCAGGATGAGTCGTAGATGACGAATCCCAAAAGTAGTCAAGTTTTTGTTGTCTTCGATGTAAATTCAGTTACGAGTCTTCATTGTACTATTGTTCTTTCTCTCAGTGAATGCGATCCATCATGCAAAGTGCATAGGTAGAACTAAAACTCTATGATTTACTATTTTTCATTAAAATAGCATCATTGGAAAATGGGAGGAAAATGTGGTGTGTGGTGATCCTATTGATGGACCTCGCAATAATGAAGCATC